AAAACCAGGGAAGACAGACAAAGGGAACCAAGACCTCCTGGAATCACCCCAGCCCTGGCAGGACCCCTGAGGGATGAAGGAAGCTGGTAAGGGGGGCAGTCCCCAGACTGCAAACATCCTGTCACCATGTACAAGGTGCCACCACAGTCATGCCACACACCTCAAGGGTCAGACAGCGGGTATCGTCCACCATTTGTCTCCACGTTGTACGCTGGACACTGGGGTTCACAGCAACAGTGCTCTCCAAGGTCACGATACCGCCTTGGACCAGGTCACGACTCCAGCCCTGTACTCACTGCCTCCTTGCAGCTAAATGTGAAATATGCAGAACGCTACTTTTTTTTGCGGGGGGAGGGGGGGGTACCAGGGATTGAACCCAGAGGCATTTTACCCCTGAGCCACAACCCAGCCCTTTTTACTTTTTATTTAGAGACAGGGTCTTGCTGAGTTGCTTAGGGCCTCGCTAAGTTGCTGAAGCTGGCTTTGAGCTGGTGATCCTCCTGCCTCAGCCTCCCAAGCTGCTGGGATTATAGGCATGCGCCATCGCACCCAACCAGAATGCTACTTTTTACAGCGTATTCTACTTCCTACTTTTAAAGGGCAAATTCTACCTTAATTGTTAGAGAAAACTATCACAGCTCTGTTTGGCTGCATATCCATGTTTACTAGTTCATGGAAAGCCTGGAAATCTACTCCAGCCCTGACTGTAGGGCCCAAAGCCAGTATTCTGCTCTAAAAATGACAGCAATAATAGCCATACCAAGGAGTAATAAGAACTCTCACTTTTGTAGTGTGAACCACGCGACAGGCATCCTTCAAAGCCTTCATAACAACACTGAAGTCGCTGCTATCAGTATACCCATTTTACAGGGAAGAAAGCTAAGGCACAGAGTCAAAGACACACAATGTACCTGGTCACTGAATGACATATACTCCAGTGTGTCACCTGATTTAACCCTCACCACTGCCGCATGAGCATGGTACGGAGACCAAGAGGGATAAGATCTGACCACACCAATCAGAGCTGGGTTAAAACCCATGCTGCCTACCCTGGATCTTAATCATCATATGACACTGTCTCCCTCCACTTTACAAACCTGCTCCGGCGGCATCCAGTCGTAACCCACTGCTCAGGATCCAGGTGGAAGAGCTCCTCTCACACCTGCCCAGATCTCTTTTCTGCAAGGCCCTAGCTGCTGGGAGAGGGGGCTGCGGAGGGCGATGCACACCTTTCTCCAGGGATGAGTCTCTGCCCAGAAAAACCTAGAAAGCTATGTCCCCCACCTTTCTCCCAAACAGAGGCTGGAGCCCAAAAGCCCAGTGTCCTTGCTTTGAGATGTGCCAACTCTGAGGTGCCATTTGCTCCACAGTCCCATGGTGACACAGCTGAAACCGCATCTTTGCTTGGCTCTCAGCTTGCCCTGTCCTGCTCCCTGGCTTCCTAGGGGTGTGACTTGAGGACCTGCCCCCAAGAAATCACTTCTGCAGGAAGCCGCAAGTCAGCTGTGCTCCTAGGCAGCCTCACCTGAGGAACCCCAGGCTTCATCAAACCCCACAGCAACAACCCCTCGAAATGCAAGCCTACAAGAAGCTTCAGAACTGGTATTTATGGACTTTTTGAATAGTAAAAGCATTTTCACCCTTTAAATAATCCCACGTTTTTGCATGAGTGTTTGAAGCCAAAGACATTTATGTAAAACATTGAAAATGGAAGAACACTTACTTCACTAAAGAAGCTTTGCGACACAGTTTGTCAGCCCCCCTGTAGTAATTCACCAGCTGCGCCAGCCCGGGCTCGTGACCTGCAAGGAAAGAGCAGGCTCAAAGGGGGGCCTAAACAGGTGGGGAGTGACGGCAAGGCACCAGCATGCCAGATGGGGACCAGGAGGGGCATGCCCAGCTTTTCATTTCAACTTTGGTTGTTAGAAATGGAATAGTTTGGCTTCTCTGTCCCTGAGGGTCTTTCTCTCAGTATCCTTCTGGCCACTCACCCTCCCCCAAGGGATGCTACTATACCAATACTGCAGGTCTACAAAGACCATGGCCACCTTTGTTTTTTCTTATTGGAGTGGAGCATGCTGGGTATTTTCTCTTCAGCTCTCCCTGGTCTTACTACGCTCCTCTTCCGGCTTAACGTGAAGACTTGCAATCTTTAAATACAGGAAGCTACTTTAAGAGTCATGCTTTGCACCTCCCCAGCCCTGCTTTCTACAAACATCAGAGAAGGCACAGAACTGTGATACTGCTAGTCTCAAGCATGCTGGTCTCTGCCAGCTTCTGGAAGGCACCAGAAGGTAGAGGGAGGTGGTGGGCGGGCCATGTCAGAATGTCAGAAGTAAGAACTTCATTCTGTGCTTCATCCCACAGGGATCTTATTCTCAACAATTCTCATTACCACAACCCTTCTCTATGAAATTAGAGCTGAAAGGATAAAAATAAAAACACAGTTTTACTTAATTTTTAGGGGATACTGGGGAATGATATTTGTCAAATTATATTGTTATATTGTGTGCATGTATGAATATGTAACAACAAATCCCACCATTATGTACAACAATATGCACCAATTTTTTAAAAAGTGGGAAAAAAGAAACTGAAAAAATTTTTTGTTTTGTTTTGTTTAAAATCCTAATAATCCATGCATGGTGGCACATGCCCATAATCCCAGCGACCCTGGAGGCTTCGGCAGGAAGACAAGTTTAAGGCCAACCTGGGTGACTTAGCAAGACCTTGTCTCAAAAATAAAAAGGGCTAGGGTTGTAGCTCAGTGGTAGAGCACTCCTGGGTTCAAATTCCAGTACTGCAAAAAAATAAATTTGTATATGCATATTTAAATTTTATTTATTAACAAAATGCACTGCATTTCCTATAATAGAAAGTAAGATGGAATAAAGGCATTATGAGTTGATGTCAGAGGCAATGATTCATCAGAGAATGGCATACGCCCAAATCAAAAGTGTCAGGCATTACTTGAATTTCAGTGCTTCCCTGTGGTAGAGAGACCCTCATTCTCCCTGCATGGCCCTCTCCACATGCCCAGGGCCCTGAGCCCTTACCTGACCCCTGAAGCTCCTTGGTTTCCATGTAGCACACTTTTAGTAAAAGGTAAATAACTCCAGTTAACAGCACAAAACCTATTTTCTTTCCCATAAAAACTAAATATTTGCTGATCACCTGCTGAATCTATGGTGCCTATGTAAGATTCGAAACATATAGGTTTCTGCTTCTCACCTCCTTGCTGGGCATGAGCTCCACAGCTATGCCAACTGCCCCACCTCCACCTGGGCAGTGCTGTCTTTGACTGTTTTCCATATTAAGACTCCATCTAAGCTTTCACAGCCAGACACCACCAAGCACAAGAAGAAAGGAAGGCAGGAAGGGCAGTGGACAGAGTCAGAGGAAGTAACTTCTCAACTAGAAGCATTTGTTTCCTTTCCTCTTTCAGGGAAATAATTCCACATGAACATTACCTCCTCCACCCCACTCCCCCAGCTTTTTTGAGGAAGGCTTCCTGAGGAGATCCTTTAACAGGAAGGACTCTCCAAGCACACTCTCTGTAATCCTAGATTTCTGGGGGGCTCCTGTCAGCCCTTCCATGGAGTCACCATTCTTCATTATAAACTTGCATGGCAATGGGAAGTTGTCCCCAGCACTATTTCAAAGAAAAAACTCAGGAAGGCATTGCCTCAACAAGTTTGGTTCTCAAACACTGGCCTCACCCAAATGCTCTAGTAAGTTCACCAATGGCCAGTCAACTCCAGATGGCCTGTTTCCATTCTCTGACAACTCATCCTTTTTCTGAAAACCCTCTCCTCTCCCCAACATGGCAAGAACACCGCTCCCTTTGGTTGGCCCTCCAAGACTGAGGCTTTTTCTCGGTATCAATTCTCCCCTTCTATCCTTGGAGTACAACTGACCCCCACCCCTGGTGAGTTCTGGCCAGGAACACAGCTACCCAGAGAGCCCTTCCCAGATGACTGTGCAGTCAGCAGGTCACGAGCCTAGCCGATGCTCAGGTCCCCGGGATGTGAGTGCACCTTCCGGAGAACTTCTGGATTACGTCATTTGGAAAGGAGCGGCTGGTCCTCCCCTCACTCCTGTCCCTTCCTAAGGAGAGTAGGTGGACAGGGTGGTGCCAAGCCGGCTTCTACCACGTAAAAAGGCAATTCCCTCCCGGCAGAGATGGAGGGGAACCAAGCCTCTGGTTAAAACCTTTATTCAATGCACAACTGTAAAAACACGTTCGTTGGTGAAGCCTTCGCTAAATTGAGACGCTCCTCCAGCTTTCCCTGGGGGAGGGTCTCCTCTGAAGCTCCGGTTTTGAATCCAAATGGCTTTTCAGAATGCACTCCCTGCCTGATATCCGAGCCTTGCGCGGGTACAACCCCAGGTTCCAGCACCTTCGGGGGCCCCCTTCCACGCCCACACCAGGCGGGGCGAAGTCCTCCGTGGGAGACGCGCAAGGAGACTTCCCGGCTCTGCGGAGCCTCGCGTGCCCTGCGCAGCCTCTCGTGCCCTGCGCTCAGCTCCGCCAACCTGCCCGACCCGGGGCGTTGGGCCCGGGAGCCGGGGACCAGTGGCCGACAGCCCCCATGCTGCAGGGACAGGTCATTGTCAGGAGTAGCGGAGCCGCACCGCGAGTCCCTCCGAATGGGACTCAGGAGAGCCGAGAGCGTTAAGAACGAGCGCGGGCGTTGGCGGATCCGCCCGGGATCAGCCCGGGAAGCCGCACGAGAAGCCACACGGAAGGGAGACTCGCGACCTTAAAAACAAAAGCGCCGGCCGCGGCTGTGGAGCGCGCCCCGGCCGGGGGCGGGGACGGGGACAGGGACGGGGAAGGCTCACCCAGTCTCCCGAAAGGCAGCCGGTTCCTCTCGCCCAGCATCAGGTTGAACCTGGGATTGTCTCGCCTCAGCCTCTTCCAGTGGCCGGAGGCGAGGAGCAGCCGGGAGACCTCGGCATAGACGCTGCTGTTCTCGTCGCGCACCACGAAGGTGTACATGGCGAGGCCGCGCGCCCGGGCCCCAGGCCGCCGCCCGGGGACGAGCCGGCCGAGGCGGCGGCTCCGCGTGGACGGTACCCGCCCCCCGCACCGCACTGCTCTCGGGCCGCGCCTCCCGGGCCCAGGCGGCGCCTTCTCGGGCGCCCGCGTCCGCCCAAGTGGCGAGCGCCGCCGGGACGCCGCGCCCTCCGCCGCGCGGCCCCGCCTCCTCCCCGTGATTCCGCGCGGCCAGCTCGGCGCCTGCGGGCCGCGCCCCCAGCCCCGGGCCAGCCGGTGGGGGTGCCCTGGGGGTGCACCGAGCCGAGACCACAGCCAGGCGGTGCCAGCGGAAGACCCCCCTTGCAGAGTTCCCCCGCTCCGCCACCTCTTTCACAGGGACTTTTATGGGTGAAAAAAAGTTGCTCGGCCCTGTCCTGTGTCCGAGTGAGCAGCGCTCCCTTCCTCTCCGCTCAACAACTAGAGCACCTAGAACGTTGCGGTACTTGCTTAGTTGGAGTAGAGCGCTCTTTTCAAGTTCTGAGACCTCCCGATTGTCGCACAGCCCGGGGGCCGGGGTGACCCCAGCGTCCACTGGTGGAAATAGTCCCGAACAGGCTTCAGGGAGTCCTGGACCCGTTCCCGACCTGCCCTTCCAGCGTGGGCCATGAGCCTTCTCTATTTCGGACCTCGTCTTGTCTAAGCTACTTTTAGGAAACAGATTTTGGTGCATTTGAGGGTCAGAGAGGACAATGACTATCAGGTTTTCCGCAAACGTGCCCATATGCCCTCGTGAATGACCTACCCCAGCCTTGTGCCTCACAGCTGTTACTCTGCTTTAGAGAAAGAACCTCCCATCCTGTGCTCCCCGCGTTCACAGTATCTACCGAGCATTCTGTAAAAGCACCCTCCTCCCCCAGCTCGGCCCACATTCGCTCACTTTGCAAAACCATTCTAATCTGTGCACTTTCGCTGTCCCTGGGGAGCTTGCTCGGTGCACAAAGGCAGCAACCCAGAGTGCGGGTGCTTAAGTTCCCTCTCATCCCTCCATCCATCAGGATAAGAGTGGGTTGACAATGCACTGGCGTTCTCACCCCTGGCAGGATATGCTGCCAGGAGGTGCATTTCCTGGACTGTATTTCAAGGTATCTACAGAATTCAGCCCCTGCTGTCCACAGCTGTCCAATGCACTTCTCTTGGCTTCCTTCCTTTCCCTAACTCACTACCCCACTTGCTCCTCCACAGATATCACCTTGCTTTTAAGTCCTTGTTCCAGGATCACTTTTTGGGAGACCTCATGCTAAGATAAGCCATACCTGCTGCTTGTCACCGAAGGCCACATTCTTTCCTCTAATAGTTGGCTTCTCTGCCACTCCACAGCCATGGTCTCCCTAGCAACGCCAGGGATCCTCAATCCAGTGGTTCTCTTTTTTTTTTTCTCACCTATCTTTTATGGTGAACACTGTTTAAACTTGTTTTAGTTTTAATTTGGGGGCAGTGTTCCTTATCCCCTTTGCTAGATAATAGTATTCATCTTTTCCCCTCCGGACTTTATGAGACTCTGGAGAGATGAACACAGTCCATTATGGGCACAGGAAAGGCAATCTCCCAGTTCAACAGGGCTACTCCATCCCTTTCTGCCATAGTAGATGGTAAAGCATAAGAACATGACCCAAACCTGGACAATCTGATTCTTTGTGGGATTTGGAGCTATAAAGAAAAACCAATTTTTTATTTTATTTTTACAGCTGAAATTGCTCAGATGAAAGACTGTGTGCCACAACATGTAGCTATCTTAGTATCCTACAAAGAGGAAGACTCTGTCTGTCTGAGACTTTGACTTCCAGCACTCCCTTGAATTAGGCCTGGCTCTCTGGCTATACAAGAGGAGTAATATGCTTTACTTCCTATTCTGGACCTTAAAATTAGAGCATGCCGCCTTCTTCCAAATGCAGAACCACAATAACAACAAAACAAAAAGATGCAAATGTTATAGTTAAAGCTTCGTCCTGGGGTTTCATACACTGACTTCCAGACCACTCACATATAATCGAATCAAGCCTTTATTGAAGCACACCGGTGGCGGCTGACCAGAACATAAAGCTGTTCCCCTGATCTGCCCTGAACAATTGCAAGGGCACTACTTATAAACCTGAAAACTGCAAAAGGGATGTTTGGGGGTTCAGCCAATGCAAGCAAGCCAGGTTACAGAAGCGGGACAGTGCAGTCAGGCAGTGGGAAGCCTAAACAATCACAGCCCAGTCACCCCAGTTACAGAAACAGAGCCTTGTTCCCCTAGTTACAGAAACAATGCCCCATTAGGTAGTTCCGTGTTCTTAAAGGTTTCTATAGCAAAAGGAAAAGAACATCTTGCCCCAGTCATGACCCTTTTCCTTGGCATGGTTGTTTCTACAGAATGGAGTCACAAAACAAAATGGAGTCACATTTGCTTTTACTATCACGCAAGGATTCTACCAAAATTGGCTCTTTGATTGATCCTAAAATAAACTTCAATAGCCAGGTACAGTGGCACACACCTATAAGCCCAACATCTGGAGAAGCTGGGGCTGTAGGATTATAAATTTGAGGCCAACCTCAGCATCTTACCATGCCCCTCAGCAACTTAGTGAGGCCCTGTCTCAAAATAATAAGTACAAAGGGCTGAGGATGTAGCTCAGTGGTAAAGCACCCTGGGTTCAATCCCCAGTACGAACACACACACACACACACACACCCCTTGAAAAATCTCCACAGGTTGAGACAATTCTAAACACTTTCTCTAACAACAGTGGAATTAAGTGGCTAGGAAATTCAGTAATATACTTCTAAATAACCTATGTTAAGTGAAGAAATCACAATAGTATAAGAAATATTGGCTGGGGATGTGGCTCAAGCGGTAGCGCACTCGCCTGGCATGCGTGTGGCCCGGGTTCGATCCTCAGCACCACATACAAACAAAGATGTTGTGTCTGCAAAAAAAAAAAAAAACCTAAATAAATAATTCATTTTTTTAAAAAAAGAAATATTGTTTAACTGAATGACAATAAAATTATGACATCAAAACTGGTAAGATACAGCTAAAGCCATGGTTAAATGAAAATTTATAGCCTGAAGCACAAATGTTAGGAAAAGAAGACTGAAAGTCAGTCGTTCAAGCATCATCTCATGATACTAGAAAAAGGACGACAACATCACACCCAAAATAAGTGGAAAGAAACGGAGGAATGAAGAAACAGATATACCAAAAATAAATCAACAAAGCCAAAAGGAAAAAAAAAAAAAAAACCTATTTGGGCTAGCTCATGGGTAGAGCACTTGCCTAACATGCGAGAGCCCTGAGTTCAATTTCCAGCATTACCAGTAAATAGATAAATAAAATTTAAAAATACACTACTTAAATTGCTAACCATTCACAGCCCAGCAAGAAGGAAAGAAAGAAAGGGAGTGCAAGTAATCAGTACTAAAATGTCTAGGGGAACCCACTAGAAATCCTAAAGATGTTTAAAAATAAGGTACTGGGGCTGGGGATGTGGCTCAAGCAGTAGCGCACTCGCCTGACATCTGTGCGGCCCGGATTGGATCCTCAGCACCACATACAAACAAAGATGTTGTGTCCGCTGAAAACTAAAAAATAAATATGTTGAGAGCCACAGCCAAAGGGGCCCCAGCAAACTTTCAGCTGCCAGCAAACTTCCAGCTGCCAGCTGATGATTGGCTCACAGCAGCCCCAGCAAACTTCTAGCTGCCAACTGATTGGCTCCTCTGCAGTGATGCTCATTGGGCTGTTTCCCGCCCTTTCAGACTAGGGAGCTGCTCATTGGGGGTCTTTTTTTGGCTCTGCCCATGCGACCTAGCCAATCGGCCTCAAGAGCAGGAGGAGTGGGGGAGGTTGAGAGGCTTGTGGGAAGCTGGTGGTGGCAGTTGGGCTCTGAGGGTTTTTCCTGAAGAGCAGTGTGGTGTGGTGTGTGTGTTCTAAAAATAAAGTTCGTTTCTTTTGACAAGTGGCTCCTGAATTGTGCCCAGCCAGACTGCGGCATAAATATTAAAAAAAATAATAATAATAAAAAGTACTATAAATAATTCTTGCCAATGAATTTAATAACTTGGACAAAACAGACAAATTCTATGGAAAATCCTAGTTTACCAAAAATGATTAGAAAGTAATATGAAATCAGAATAATTTCATATCTGTTAAACAGATTGATTCATTTGTAGATGACATATATATAGAGAAAAAAAACTAAAAATATCCTGAAGATTATACAGATACCCCAAAAACATTAACCCTAATAAGCAAATTTAGCAAAGTTTAAGAACAATTCAGAGAGGAAGTTAAGAAAATAATTCAATTTTACAATAGCATCAAGTAGCCAGGTCAAAAAGAGAAGATTTCTTTTTTTTGGTGGACCCAATATTTTTATTTTTATTTATTTATTTTTATGTGGTTCTGAGGATCGAACCCAGTGCCTCACACACGTGAGGCAAGTATTCTACCACTGAGCTACAACCCCAGCCCAATAAGACGAGATTTAAAAAAAAAACTGTCATTTTTCAAAGATGACATGGTTATATATACAAAGCAAATCTTAAGTCGCTAGACATAAGACCAATATATAAACACTAATTGTATTTCTGTCAACAACAAAGAAATAGAAGATGAAAAATTTTAAAGATACAATTTATAGTAGCATCAAAAAATGTCAAATACTTAACATTACTAAAGAAAACTATGCAAGAACTCTACACTGAAAACTACAAAATGTGACAAAAGAATTTAAAGAATAAAATAAAGGAAACATACACTATGATCATGATTAGAAAACTCAAAATTGTTAAGGCTGTCTGTCCATTCTTGCTGAATGGATCTGCAGTGCAATTCAAGCAAAATCTCTGCAGAGCTCTCCACAGAAATTGACAGGACAATTCTAAAGCTCATATAGAAATGCAGAGGAACAAAAATAGGAAAGGCAGGCTGAAGGAAGGCTACCAGACACCAATCCACAAAAGTTATAGAATTTGAATATAAAGGTATTGCAAGATGCAGTAGCTCACGCCTGTAATCCTAGAGACTCCAGAGCTGAGGCAGGAGGATTGAAAGTTCAAAGCCAGCTTCAGCCACTTAGCAAGGCCCTAAGCAGCTTAGCAAGACCTTGTCTTTGAAATTAAAAAAAAAAAAAAATTTAAAGGGCTGGGGATGTGGCTCAGTGGTAAAGTGCCTCTGGTTTCAATCCCTGGTACCAAAAATAAATAAATATAAATAAATTTAAACAAATAGATAAATAAATATAAAGATATAG